TTTTTTTTTTTTTTTTTCGATATCTTAATGACTATTTGTGCGCTTAAGATACAGACTCGTCGATCGTTTGGTTCTTCCATGGTCTGGCAATCGAGTGCCAGAGCGATCGATCCGAAGTCTCATCTAGCCAAATGTTCAGTATAATGCCCGAATCTCCTCTTTTTTTTGTTTTCCTCAATCATTTTGAATGACGTCGGCTTACAAATACTTTTTAACAATTTTACAAATATGTATTTTACTGCAGGACTTTCATCACCCATTTAAATTTATAACTCGTCGTTTCTTCCATTCTTTCTTTCTTTCTTTCTTTATTTTTTTTTCCAGCTTTCTCTTCCTCGCATCATTCCCGTTTCCCTCGCCGTTAGACAATGCTATAATCGAAAGTTAAGCCTAAAAAGTGGACGCCTGAAGTAAAGTCGGATGAGGAGATGACAGGGGCCTATGGTACTGTTGCCTGTTGGAATCGAAAAACCAAGTGGCGGCGTTCCCCGTAAACGAGACGAGTATGCAGAACGGATACGTCGATGGTAACGAAACATAACCGGACACTTGGAAAAGCATTCTTCGTTTTCTTCGACTATTTTTTCTTTCAACCTGAGAGAATCTCTTTTTTTCCCTAGCCACTATGTAAATGCTGAATACATCGAATACATAGAATCTACATTACGATTTTTTTACTTTTTTTACGTTTTTTTTTTTTTACTTTTTAATATACATAAACGACCACGACTTTAAACCTTCCCCCGGATTAATTTCTTTTTGTTCACCCACCCCTTATCGAAAACACGTAGTTAACATTTGAGTAGCAACCGATGCGTTAAACGCGCGAAGTATCGATTAACAATTAAGTACGGATTAATTAGCAAACGTAGTTACCAAGAATTCTAGAAGAACAAGCTACGAAAGAATCTTCTTCATCGAATGACCGAGCAAGCAACTGACAACTGAATCTGCTAGAAACGAGATGTTATGTTAAGTTATGTTTATGTTTTATACACATCGCCGTGGACCGTTAGCAAAATTTACATCGTTATATGACGTCCCAGTGTAGGACGCGAGCGTCGTTTAGATGAGCTTGATGATCTGCAAATATATCGACGTTCAGCTTCCTTTTCAATCTATTCTCATTCAATTGACAAATTAATCTAAATAATACGTCGCCCGAGCGTTTCGAAGAAATCCCACCGTTTGCAAAATTATTTACATACGTTACTAATGACAAGGAAACTATACGAAGAAAAATACGATCTTTCACGAAAAATGTTCCAACTAATCCATCTTCGTCTCGAGTATAGTTTTCTTAGTAACTCAGAAATTTGACAACAATTCTAAGACGATCTCTCCTTTGCTCCAGTACACACAACGTTCGTTCGAGAAATTTACATGTCTCCAAAGATCCCTGCAAACGTTTTCCGAAGATTCTTCATGGTGTCTTCGGTGTCTTCGCTATGGGACTGGCTACCTTGTCTGTGGAAAGGTATTCTCGACGTTATAGTTTCTTCTTGACGTCGACCAACCGATGGAGCGCTGCTCACTGTACTTGATTGCGATGCTGCAAACGAGTAAATAACAGATTGAAACATCGAAACACTTGTTTATTTTAATTGTACGTGCCAATTAGGTCGTATCCCTACGAACCTTGTGAATCGCGTCGTTGCAACTGATGATGGCTGTCAGAGCTAGTTACGTCGCCCGCCATTGCTGTCGCTGAGCCCACGGACCCTAAACTTCCTATGCTAGCCATGGATCCCATGCTTCCATGAGATCCCAGCGGAGCGGCTGCTGGCACACCACGATCTTCAAGCGGACTCATTGCGTGACTCGAGCCGGACATCGATCCTCTGGATGTTGTTTTCGTCAACACGCCCGGATGTCGACAATATATCTGGACATTTGGAAAAGTATGGGGAAAGAATTAGTGACAAGAAAGGAATTAGAATTTCATCAATTACATCCGCCCCTCCGCGTGTTTTAATTCAATTAATTTAAATTAATTTGCGCGACACTTTTTTCACGCGAGTCACGCGGCAAATTATAACACTGATCTGAATTCACGCGGCCAGGAAATATGTAGAACATTGTAGACATTGGTCCAAACGTTCAACAAGATTCGAAGAAATGTTGCGGCGAATGTCAGCAAATTTATGAAAACTTAGCAAAAGATAAGATCTGAGAATAAATCGTCCGACAAAATTAACATTAACGATAAAAATGAAGTCGAACTTCCAAATATTTCAAGCAACGAGAGTAATGAGTTTGTGCTAATTAAAAAGAAAATGATGATTATTCTGAATACAGTAGCGACATCGAATAAAATGTAATTATTATTCTTTTTTTTTGTTAATTTATGTGAATACGTATTTCTATAACTTATACCAGCTTTTCTTTCCAATATTTTCTTTTCTTTTGTAACTGACATACTTAAAACGAATCCACGTGGAACGAATAGTTCGCGTAATTGGAGGGACTTTGAGAGTAACTTTCAATGACGTCGTAATAATAAACAGCTGCGACTCCAACGATACTTTCTGCAGTCATTGCAGAGATCATCGATGAACATTGTTCGCGCGCGGTGTAGGCGGAACGAAGTGTGGAATTTGATTAATAATGGATTGTATGATTTTAGCGCGTGTGAGTTATCAAAGGCTTTTCCTTTCCGGTGGTAAGTGGCTCGCGAGAGATGAACTATGTTGCTTGGCAATTGGACGTATTCTAACTTTCAAGACGATAGAAAGCAGGGAAAGCTCTCTTGTTTCCCTTTTCATCGGCTTTGGAATATTTTTTGGCTCCAAGGCAGCTTACAGATTAACTTGGATTCGACTTTGTTTAACCATTTCGCCTTGTTCGAGAATTTTCTATGCAAGAATGCCGCATGATCTATGGCACACTATAGCGAATTTATAGTCCTCAAACGATCCGAATCTCTAGTTTTAAGTCGTCAGCAAACACTTGATTGTCTGACCGATCGTCTTTGTTCAAAAATCTACGGTCATCTCGATAGTGTCATAAATCAAGGCGCTCGCTTTCCCGATTTGAACGAACATCGTTTCAATCGTACCTGCATCTTCGCGGTGACGAGGTCTGCAATGTGACGGCGATCCTCCTCCTGCGAGTCTCCCATCAACGACAACGCGCTGTCGTTCACCTCGATTATGTATTCCCGGCCATCCTTCCCGACCAGCAGCTCGATCGCGCAGATATCCAATCCACCGAACAATTGGGTCACGTGATCGACCCAGGTGCGATGTCTTTCACTCACAGCTAATTGCTCCAACATCGCCGAACCGGTGTTAGACTTCCAGTTTCCGCTTATGCTCTTCCGCCTGGAGAGGAACGTTGGCGAACGTGGTCGTTAATTAATTGCCCTGCTATTCTCGTCGCGATTGACTCTCGGCTCGACAGGAAGGCGGACGAATTAACGTTTCGATCGTTCCGTATGATGTATATTTAGAAAGGTGGGACAAAGGGAAACTTGTTGATCTTATTTCAAGAATCGAATGACAACGTGCAAGAGAGATCTTGCATTGTTCTCTGAGTCATGCCATATTACCATAAGTATACACACGTACACACGTGCTGAGTCGGGTAGAATTATTGGAAAAAAATAGATGTGTCTGAAAGGATCCTGGCGTCGATCGTTACATAACTCACCGTTTCACCTTACCAGCCGAGAGAGTTGAGCTACGCGGTTCTAATTCCCATTTTTCTAACGAGACCACGGTGGGAAAGCCATTGACAAGCTACTCGGTAACATTTGCGACAACGACAGATCGCGAGGATCGATCTGGCAGACATCTCGTGACACTCACATGAACGCCTTGTAGTTATTGCCTATTTTCTGCACGTGAACGTCGTACTTGGTGTCGACGTACGGCTCCGCCGTGCAATAAGTGTTAGCCAGAGCGGCCAAAGAGGCGAGATCTAGAAACTCTTGATTCGTCTCAGCACGAGCTTTTCCCACTCCACCGTGGGCGTGTCCGAGTTTCACCACGACCGGATAGCGAGATGCACTCACCTGAAAAACAAACGAAAAAAAAAAAGAAAGAATAAATAAAAATGAAAAAAGGTCATCGTTTTTCAGAAAGGAAAAGAATCAACGGATACAGGCGTGTTCGATCGCGAATTGCGAATCGAATCGAATCGAATCGAATCGCCTCGTGGCTAAGTTACCGAACGACTCGTCGCATAACTATAACTCTTTGGGACGTTGAACCACGTTGAACATTTTGCCAGTCCTGGAGTATATGTTCGACGCTTCTCGACGCGTTTACAACGCGGTGCCGAGATTTCTGCGCGGAGAATCGATTAACAATGCACGCGTATTCTACATTCCGCTGTAATCGACGGAAACCAGTCGGATGGTACGCCTACGGCGGTATCTCGGGCTAGTCTTCAATAATCGAATACATTAACCGACATCTATGGATGAAGATCAAAGTCAGCCGATACGCAGGCGGTTGATTAAACAGTATGTGATATCTCGCGTGGGTCGGAAGGGATTATTAAACGATGACGCTGCGTGTTCGTTGCATCCGTCAGCATCGATTTGTTCCGAACGATTTTCCAGAATCGTGAAACGTGTACTGCCAGGAGATTGAATTTCCTTACGCGAATTAGCGAAGTGCATCGGGCAGGCTAAAAATATATTCGTGATGCGAAACGGATATCTCGCATCGAAGATGAGAACGCTGAAACAATTTCTTTGAACTGTAAAGACGTCAGAAGTTTGAAAACCGTAGCCTGTCGTTTTTCTCGTAACTGGGAATCGCTCGAAGCTCACGATCTTCGGAGCCGGCGAGTTTCACCCGGTTCCACTTCGGTAATCGAGTTGGGGAAAAAGGGTGAAGGCAGCGTAAAATGCGATCGCTCTCTCTCCCGGTTATCCCGTTAACGCAGATAACCAAGGAATTCCTCGTTAATAGAAACAAATCGGAGCCAATCCGGCTTAAGTGGATAATTCCATTTAAATTGAACGTTAATCTCCTTCGTCCTGCTCTTTCTCGGAACCTAGGACAAATTGAGGAACGTCGATCGATCGTTCGATGCAGTCCATTTTCCACAGAACTGCTAGTTACAGTATGTTAGAATTAAGTACGTCCGATGAACGTAAAAATTATTTCTCATAAATCTCTCTCGCATTTTAGTTTCTCTCAAAAACTATAATAAATTAAAGAGCTTTAACTAATTCTAGCTTTTAACATTATTTTTCTACGAATCTCTCCTTACAACGTCCAAGCATCTATCACGATACGAAATTTCATAATTTTTAAGTCTATCCGTTTTGAGCCTCTTCTCGGTATATGGAACTGATCAAAGGGTATCGATCGATCGTTCAGTGTGCTCCAGTATGTCTCGTAAGACACCTTCCGACAAAAAACTTGCACTTGCTGTTAATTTCTTCTCGAGACATAAGAACAAAATTGTGAAACGCAAATCGATGATCGTTCACTCTCTATGGGACTGCTTTGCGAGACGTTTTAATAGTAAAACGCGCGGCTATTCAGAAAGCTTAACGACGAGGCTGTTTACAAAGCGCGTCGACGTGGAAAAAGGAAGTGATTGTTGAACGAATCGTCTCATGGGCGCACGTCCGGCCACCACTGACTGACTCCGCTGATTCTCCGATAGACAGTGCTCAAACCATATCGTATCCACGTGTTTATCCCGGCACGTGGGTGTCGCGAAAGTGGCTTTCTGAGCACCGCTGGACGCGTGTCCGTTCCCCCGCGTGGCACGAACACCAACGACGGGGATCAACGGCGAGGGACACGGAGATAAATCATTTATCGTGCTCGAGGGGACTTTCGAGGACTCCGAGGGCAGACATACGCAGGGGTGTCGCCTCCGATTTTGTTCGCCGTACTTGAACGCACTAAAAATAATGCATCGTTCACGTCCGCGAAACTGACGTTTATATCTATGGCTCCAATAGCACGCTTTTCGGCGATGATTCTTCATTTTAAAAAATCGCACTCTTCGGTCTACTTTCACCGACGTTTTAAATTCGAAAATTTTTCAAACCAAAACCAAAAGCGTATTCTTAAAAGGTTTAGGTTAGGTTTCTATTGAGACTGAAGAAATTTATAGCTTCATTTTTTTCGTTCGATTAAAAATTACTTGGCAATAGTCTGTATTTACTTGAAAGGTTAGAGATGTACTGAGAATTTCAAATATTTCACGCGAGTTTTAGACTCGTCTACTTCCGACGGTGTACAAAACTAGCAAATGTTTTATATTAAATTACGTACTCTCTAAAGTCAATTAAAATCTTATCTTATTTATCATTTATCAAAACTGAAAACATTGAATAACAATCTATCGAATAATAACGTGATTTTATTTAGAAGGTAAAATATTGTCGGTCTTACTTATTACACCATAAAACCACCGAAATCCACATTCCAGCGGACCTCAC